CTAGCTCAATCCGGTGCTTGGTTTCTCTCTCAACTACTCCACTTGGGGCTTCTCCAACATCAGTGAACTCAATAAGCAACTTACGGACATTGGGGGGTATCAACTCTTCCTCTTTCTTTTCTTTACTCACCGGGCGCACATATGCAACAAACACTTGGTCGGCGAGGTCATTCTTGACTACATGCGGGGCGAATGCGGGGGCACTCGTGCAACAAAGGGTTAGGCTATTCTCTACGCCAGATGCATGTTAAAGTCAAATTTTCTTCTTTCCACCTGTAGGACTAGGCAAACAACACTCATGCTCACCCAGTTTCACATCTGCATTGGCTGCCTCACCCCAGTCAGTTCCTAGAATCATGTCAAAAGGGAGATTGTCCTCCACTAAGAGTGTCAGGGAGTGCAGAACACGTTCCACCTTTCCCCCTGCCTCCAACCAGAAGTATGCCCTAACCCCTTCAACATATCTATCAACTACCATCTCTCTATTATCTGCAAGTTTACTTACGATGGGATGTTCTAATTTCCAAACTTTAAGCCCTAACCACAACTTTTGCAAACCTTTCTTACTAATATAGTTGCGTGTTGACCCACTGTCCACTAGTGCGCCAACTCTGACTCCTGTGACGTCTACATCTGCAATTATTAACTGCCCTTTCTTTTTCTTCATTTCGGCCCAAGCGCGGCGACGAGTGCTCAGTTCATCACCTATGCTTGCAAGGGAACCACCTAGAGAGGTTCTATCACAAACAACCTTTGGACAGTTAACTAGATGGGCGCCGGTTACCGTCTCAGTCTCTGCCGTCAGGACCTTTGGATGGGAGGATGATAGTCTGCTTGCATCCATAGTCCCTGTAGAGGCAATTGAAACATCTACAGGCTGTTCCCTTTTCGGTACCTATATTCAGGGAAAAAGGGAACTATGTGGTCGGGGTCACCACATTTAAAACATTGTCCAGCAACCTTCCTTTCTTCCCAAACTTTTTTCTTCTATTCCCATTTGTTCCCACGATTTGCCTATGGGAATTCCAGGATGGGTTGGATATGGCCGCCAATTACCTTTACCTCTACCCCTTGTGGAGTTGGAACCTCTACCACCTTGCGAGGGACCATAACCCCCTCCCACATAGTAGCTTCCTTCACCACTACCCCTCTGGGTGATGGGTCCTCTTCCTCCACCTCGACCGCGGCCTCCTCTTCCTCTACCACGACCTCTTCCTCCTTGTCGCCCTCCCCCGCGGGCTGCAACAACCGTATAGTCCCCTCCCTGGGCTAAGTGACTATTGCTTCCTTCCTCTAACCCATAGTATATGTGGTCATAGGTGAGTGACGCTACCCCTCCTTCGAAGGTGACTAGTAAGTTGTCTTTGCATGCTATATTTCCCGAGATTGTTCGATCTTTCCATTTCTTTCCAGCCTGCAGGTCTTTCCAATAGTGGCAATATTGTGCCTCTTGCAGAAAGCCAGCATGTTCTACAACGATCTTGTTGAACTTCTCATATGTCATTCCCTCTTCTTTGGTGCGGGGATAAAGTTGTGTCTTCAGGGGATCAGGGAGCGCTCTAGTGAAGTTATTCAGGATATGCGCTAGTGTCAGCCGTGATCCGGGCATTGCAGCAGTTCATCCATTGTGGCCTTGAGGGTTGACACACTCTTCCATTTACGGTCACTAATATTAAGAATCAAAGACTCAGTCCTATGGGCCAGGTTCTTATCTTCGAACCTTTCTCTAAGGGGTTTGAAAAAATCTTCAATCCGCATCTGTTGAGAAAACTTGACCATGGTTGTGCAACTAGCCTCTTTCATCAGAGAGATAGCAAAACTCATAGTGTCCCCTGCCATACACAAACTTGCCATTAATACCCGATCCCAGTACATAATCTTTTGTGCGTATAGATACGTTCCCATAGCGGCTTCCCAATGGAAGATACTTTCTTCCTTCTTCCCATTGTAAGTCCATGACAGTTTCACTTTCATCTTTTGCCTGACTTCCTCCGCTTCTTCATCCTTCTCTTTCTTGACCCCCTTTCCTTTCTTGTCCCCATCATCACCATCATTGCCTCCATCTCCTCCCCCGCCTCTAATCCTTAATTGTTTAAGCACGACGGGATCTTTAAGCCTCTGGCAAAGTGCTTCATCTAACTGTTCCACATAATCACGCACTAGCAAGTCAATCTGTGGCGAGGCAATATTCAGGAAACTATTCCAGGTATCAGTAAATTCACCCTGCTGCGCCTCTACTTTGGTTACGGTCTAATGAAGTACGGCGAGTTGATCGTTGGTATGGAGGAGGGTGTCAGTGAGGAGGGTAAGTCTTTCTTCTATTGCAACTTGTTTCCCTTTCTGTTCTTGCAACATCTGCCGCAATCTCTCTCCCTCCTCTTTCATTTTATTCTTCTCATCAAACTCTTTTCTCCTTTCTAGCAGCATGCGATTATGCAAGCTTGCTCTCTTCTCTTCCACCAACAACCGTTTCTCTACCTCATCCTGCACTTCAAACAACAGCTTGAGGACAACTTCCTTCTCTTCCTCTTTTTCCTGTGGCATCTCTTCCCGTAATCCAAACTGGCCTAGCCAGTCCATTGCCTCCAACTGGCGCATTCGTATGCCACCCATATGACTGCTCTCAGCCTGGTCCGCCCGTGGTTGACCTTTCCTCCTTTCCAGTCTTTCTCCCACCTCGTCTTCGTCTTCTTCTTCTTCTACTTCTTTTTCTCTTTTTAATTATTCCATCAACTTCCTTTCCTTCTCCTTCATCTCCTTCTCCAACTTCTTTTTTTCTTCTTGCAACTTCTTCTTCACTTCCTTCACTTCCTCCTCCTTTTTCTTTATCTTTTCCTCTTTTTCTTTCTTCTGTTCTGCTAAACGGTGACTTACCTCAGCCTGTTCTTCAGCTGTTTGGGCCTGTGTCGACTTTCCAGACCTCAGCACAGCATGGGAGAAGAGAGTTCTTTGAAACCCAAGAGGAAAGATGAAACGAAGGAGTGGTCCCCACAACACTGACAGTGATAGAAGTGCGAACATAGGATAGTCATCCATGGCGATCAAAGGCACAGACACTCACCTCCACCTACTCACCACTTAGGCCTACCCCTGCTACTAACTACTAACTTATGAGTGGGTTTGTCTGTTACCGACTGCCGTGTGCCTTCCCATAAGTATTTATATGTTTATATATATACCTTTTTTTTTTTCCCACAATTGGACTGGTTCCTCAACTCAACTATATCACGAGATTTGATTCAGCCCAGCAGCAGCGACTCCAAGATTGGGAAAGTAACAAACACCAAGACAAGTCAGCAAGCAATACAGGTTTTAATGGAGGGATGCACTTCACTCAGATGAACGTTCCGCTGATGAAGCTCCACGGCCGCTCCAACGCTCCAACGCAGCAGCGACAGGTACGTATTTAAGCCACTTCTTCTTCGGCCTTCTTCTTCCCCCCCTCCGTCAGTCTTCTCCCCACTCAACTCACTCTCTCATCCCTCTTCTCGCCAGCCTTAATCGTTGCCAGCGATGATCAGCGGGTGCAGCGAGCAACTGCTCCGATACCATATTGCAATGAACCTCCTAGTTCAACACCAATGAGTGCACATATTCACACCACATGCATGTATGAGTTCACACGAAATTCACACTGGAGGCCAGAGAGATGAAGACCAGGTAGCGCAGCTTATGTGAGGATTGAGCCCTCAAGAAGGGGCCTTGCCATGATGTACATGTTTTGGCCTAAGGCCCCAGCAAGCCTTGTGCCCGCCCTAAGTGAAGGCGGGCCAGCAAATCAACAAGAGCCCTCTGTGCCAACATTTCACGAAGTGGGGTCCATACAGTTGCAGCACGCCAGTGGGTTGGAGTGCACCGAGTCTCGGATTTCAGCAAATGCTGAAAACCCAGGGCCTCTGAGTTAGTTAGGCCCTGGGCACTTGAACGTGAGGCCGACAATGCATGCTGGGTATAGAGGTCGAAAACGCCAAAGGGAAATCGGCCCACTATTTGAATCTGGCCGCAGACCTTGATGAAAGAGGCGCAACTGCATTGCCCCGGGGCCCAACTGTATCGGGCTGGTTTCAGCCCATGGGGCCCAGTCGCAGGCTGAAGGGAGGCCGCCCACACGCAGCACTGACATATAGGCAAGCAGGGCGAGTGGGCAGGGATCTTGGCCAATGCAGGCATTGCGGGCACGCTGCGCAAATGCATGTGTGCTGCGCTGTGCATGAGTTGCGCTGCGCTAAGGTGAAGCAGGCTAGCGCTAGGCGGTAGGGTGCTGCCTGCATGCATGGCACTGGCGGCCATAGCCGGGCCGCATGAGGGTGCAGGGGAGGTGAGGGTGAAGGTGGTTCTTCGGAGGTGAAGGGCACTGTGTGGGTAACAAGGAAGAGTGTGGGTGAAGAGGACACGTACCTGGTGGAGGTGGAGGTCGGCATTGGTGTTGACATCATCACTCGCTGGTAGTCAAGTTGTCTGGTTGCTTTCATTGYTGTAGTTGTACGATAGGCTGTAGAGTAGATAGGGCGCCTGGCGCCATTCACAAGAGAGAGCTACATTTGGGTTATGCTGTTGGTGTTGCCCTATTGAGCATGGACATTGACTCACGATTCTTCTGTATCATTCTCAATTGGATGGTTACTCGGTTCCATTGTGCTATCTGCTTTGGCTTTAACTACTTGGACTTTAGTGTGATTTTGCATTCTGGATTTCTGTGCTTCGTCCATATTCATGTTCCTTGCAATTTGGTATCGGAGCTGGTATGATTCGCCACTTACCTTCGGCATGCTGGTGTTATACAGACTGGTGCGTTGATGATGCTTCTTCGCAGTTGGTACTTGCGACGTCAGGCCATTGATAGGCGCACGCCCTGGGTAGAGAGGGGTGCGCCGGAAGGCTACAGACGACATTAATAGCCGTGGTGACAGGCGGAATGTTTGATTGGTGATGAGAGCATGCTGATGTGGCATTGGACTAAGGTGGCACTGCATTGCGTTGTGGGTGGTACCGAGGTCATGACCGGTCATCAAATGCACATTCAGCTCAATTGGTGAGAAATCTGTGGTTGGGGGCAGCAATTTCCAGGTATGTTGTTCCCTTACCTTATCTACTCTCTCAATCTCTTCTTACCGTGAGGAAGTGAGTCCAACTTGAGAGTCCTCTCCTTGGTGAGGTGTCGTGAGCGCGCTACCTTGAGGGACGACAATCTTCCCGGAAGCATCTGGAAGGAGAAAGGGCGGTGCCTCTGAAAGGCCTGGTCGAAGCATTGGGTCACGGTCACCATGCCAACCCAATGGGAGTAGGTCACGCATGCGATGGATGCTGTCCATTAAGGGACTTTGCTGCGCCAAATAGAAGTCTTGCCAAGTGTGCCAGCCTTGTATGAGACGCTTACCAGACCGTCTATAAACATTTTTGGTTGGGTACTCGGAATGATTCTGGCTGTGATCGTCGTCCTGACTGCGACGTTAAAGAATTCCTGAAGAGATGGGGGCGCTCTTAATAATCCTCCTGATCAGCCAGATCATCCGGGTGTAAGGCTCGTTTCTGTACGAGGGTAAAGAAGAGTGGGCTGGCTGGCTTACTTGGCTCTGACTTGGGCACAGGGGTGGGCCGATACACACACGAAAACACTGCTTTGCTCAAGATGCTGACCGGATGGTTGGATTGAGGGGAAGGGTAGATTCCAATTGGTGCTCAACTGTATACACAACCATACCCATCAATCATACATCTGCTACATGGTCATTTTGTACTTGATTAGTTGGTGGACAGACTGCTAACACCTCACAGACAGACTACAGTAGGACTGAAGTATACTACCATAGCCAGTTCTATCTAGTGCTGCTGTAAGTGAACCAATCAGAGTGCATCTAGACTATGTAGACAATCTGTGTGAATGTTGTAGACATGCCACTTGATTCGGTACAGTAGGGGACTCGCCGGACACAACTATATTTAGAAAATTAGGTGCCGGTCAGACACATGCTGCGGTAGGATTCCACTAGGGGATTCTAGTGCAGATATTGTCTGCCTGACTAATGAGTGGGTCAGACCCTGTTGATGATAGAGCTGACAATAGGAGACTGACACGTGCAGAGGCACTGAGGGTACCCCACGTGTTCCAGGCCGTACAACCGGGAGAAGAAAGACGGCTTATAGCCGAACGTAGAGCCCGTGCACTAGCAGCAGCTAGGGCCACAGTAAACGCCGCAGCTAGGGAACAGGCTGCCACAGCAGCCGAGGGATTTGAGATGTCTTCTGCAGCAGCAACATCCTCGGTTGCGTCTTCATCTGCGACCAATGGGACTATGTTGGGAATGCCAACAAGTTCCACGGGCACTTCTAGTTTAATGGGTTCTCGACAGTCTACTAGTCAAATGGCGGGCTCGCAGTTCAGCCCGTTGACCCCACGTGAAAGGGAGCTCAGAGAGATCCAACAGGTCGAGAGGCTCTGCCAGAAGTTAGAGGAGGACCTGAAAAAGGCAACCGAAAGGGAAAGAGAGATAAAAAGTAGAGCAGCCAGGCTTGAAGCGTTAGAGACTGACAAGGCTGAGTTAGAGGGATTAGATGAATCAGGTTTGTCTGAACCCTTGAAAGTGTTGAAGAACAACATGTTGTCGCTGCATGCGCACGTGGACAGCAGGTTGGACTTCATGCAGAGCACTTTGGACCAGATCCTGGACATTTTGAGAAGGCCAGGATTTAGGCCACCAGCGCAATCGCCGTTGCCGTTATCGGCGATGTCAGGCCCCTTTCCAGTTCAAGCTGGTACACAACCTAGTGGTACGTCTGCAGCAGCCGCATAGACTGTTGCATCTACTTCTTCGGGTCCAGCGGTGGGTGCTACACCACCGCAACAACAGGCTAGTCCTCAACAAGGACAGCCGCAAGGCCAACGGTATCCTAAAACCCCAATGAAACCGCCTCTTGCCTTCTCAGGTGAGGGAAAGGGCGAAGCTCTCAACACTTGGTTGAGAACAGTCCCGGTTTGGGTGAAGGCGAAGAGGACCTTGCTAGAGGACGAAGTGGTAACTGCGGCATCTTACCTTGAGGGTAAGGCAACCAAATGGTTAGATGGTGTAGTTATCAAGGCCGGGTATGGGAGACGCATGGCGGACTGGGCTAAGTCTCTAACGTTAGACCAATTCATGGAAATGGTAGAAGCTCGATGGCATAACCCACAGGAGGCACAAAAGGCCACTGATGCCATAAACAAACTGGACCAACGAAAGTTCAAATCAGTTAGAGAGCTTACGACTACCGTTGAGAGCCTGATTCTCGTCCCAGGCATTAACTACAGCGACCAGTTCCTATTGACAACATTTGTCAGATGTCTCCCAGAGAACATCAGGAACTTGCTGGCCAGTGAGGCACGCGTCAAGTATCACTCGTTTGAGACATTGTCTAGGAAAGCCTTAGATTTGGAGGCCACGCTAGGCAATGCTCAACCTACCTCTCAGAATGACTCGAAGAAGAAGAAGAGTCCCCAGGAGTGGAAGAAGAAGGGGGCGAAGTTGATGATGGTTGAGTCCGATGGGACTCAAATTGAGATCGACAAACTCTCTGACCTGGTGGACTATTCAGAGTATGACGGCGAGGAGGTAGCTGAGGGTAGCACCCTCGCCGCAGTAGTAAAGGCTAAGGCCGGTGGCCGAGGGAAGGGCCAACCTAAGGGTCAAGGGAAGGCCGCCTCCAATCAGACCAAGTAGGCTGAATGGGTTAAGGCAGGTCTTGATCAAGACGTGTGGCGTGACCGACGAACGCGTGGTGCTTGTATCAACTGCGGGGAGTACGGACACTCGCAATACAAGTGCCAGAACGCGAAGGTTACGCAGAAGGTAGCTCCAAAGATGGGGGCAACCTACTCCCAGGCTTCTAGCTCGGGAAACACGTAAGGCCGGTGGAAGTTTTAGCTGCTTCTACTCCAGATGAAGTGGGATTGATACCCTCCCACTTCATGAGATGGCCCAAGCTAATGACCCCTTAGTCACCCCGCAGACACACCTAGACTAGAAGACTTAGAGAGTGAGTGGTCAAACAAGGACCCTCGTGAGTCTTGGGTGGCACTAAGGAAAGGTCCTAGAGGGGAACATTTCGTGGTGGAGGTCGATGTAGGAGGCCGCAAATGTGGTGCCTTCATAGACATAGGCTCCACGCGAAATTACATAAGTCGCGACTGTTTGGAAAGGCTGCACCTACAGGACCGGGTACGGCACCTTAGTAGACCAGTAGCATCTACTTTGGCCAACAAGGAGCGCATGATTGTAACAGACTACATCAAGGACGTAGTCTGTACCTTCTCCTATGGAGGAGGTGAGCTTAACCATAAGATCTCGTTCTTGGTTAGCGACGACTTACCATTTGACATGTTATTAGGCATGTACTACCTGGAAGTTGCTAAGCCCCAGTTCGACTGGGATAAGAACGTGCTCAAGCATAAGTTGCCCGATGGCCGAACTGTCAGATTGACTAAGTTCAAGGCCAGTAGCATTATAGATACCTATGGCTGCTTGTGTGCATCAGTGTTCTATAATTATTACAAGCAAAACGAAGAGGAGGGTATGTACCTTGTGTATGTCTCTGAGAAAGGGGAGGCCGTTAAAACACCCCAGAGATAGAACGTGTTGTTGCTAAGTTCCCTAATCTGTTCGAGGAACCCACAGGAGTTGTTGAAAGGGAAGTCGTCCACGCTATAGAAATCATTCCAGGGAGTAAGACCCCAAAGGGAAGGATCTATAGGATGGCCCCCGCCGAGTTAGATGAACTTCGGCGACAGCTTAAGGAGTTGACATAGAAGGGTTGGATTCGGCCTAGTACTTCCCCTTACGGTTCACCCGTGCTATTCGTACCAAAGAAGGGGGGTACTTTGAGGATGTGCATTGACTATAGAGGCCTCAATGCCATCACAGTGAAGAACGCAGAGCCTCTACCTCGCATAGACGACCTATTGAATAGGGTGCAGGGATGCAAGTACTATAGTAAGATAGACTTGAAATCCGGATATCATCAGATCACAATAAGACCTGAGGACCAACACAAGACAGCCTTTCAGACCAGATACGGCCTGTATGAGTTTGTAGTGATGCCCTTTGGTCTTTGCAATGCGCCGGGTACATTCCAGCACGCTATGAATCGGATCTTCCATGACCATTTAGATAAGTTTGTCGTGGTCTACTTAGACGACATTCTGATCTTTAGTAAGTCTGCCGAGGAGCACGCACAACATGTTGAGAAGGTACTCTCACTCCTGCGACAGCACAAGTATAAGGTCAACTTAGAGAAGTGCGAGTTTGGTCACGCTAAGATACTATACGTGGGTCATGAAGTATCCGCGGAGGGGATTAGGCCGGAAGATGCGAAGGTGGCTAGTATTTGAGACTGGCCACGACCTCAGACAGTCACTAAGGTCAGATCATTCGTAGGAATGTGCGGCTACTATAGAAACTTCGTAAAGAACTATTCTACAGTCGCCTCTCCTTTGACTGATCTAACTCGACTTGACACACTGTGGGACTGGAGTGATGAGTGCGAGGCTGCTTTCAAACGATTGAAGCATGCACTCATGAATCATGAAGTTCTCATGGTTCCCGATCCTCAGAAGCCATTCATAGTGACCACTGACGCAAGCCAATACGACATTGGCGCAGTGCTGGCTCAACAGGATGGGAAAAAGTTGAGACCAATTGAGTATATGAGCAAGAAGATGCCATCAAAGAAGTTGGCAAAGTCCACCTACGAAAGGGAACTCAATGCTCTATATAAAACACTTGTCCATTGGAGACATTTCCTATTGGGAAGGTTCTTCTACTTGAGGACTGATCATCAGACCCTCAAATGGATCAAGACTCAACCGGCTCTTTCTGACGCACTCAAGCGATGGATTGAGGTCATAGACGAATATGACTTCAAGCTTGAGTACCTGAAGGGAGAGTATAACAAGGTTGCTGATGCGCTATCACGTAGAGCAGACTACCTAGGTGCGCTAGTTTCTGACTTTGGCGTATCTGAAGAAGTAACTCAAT